CATTTCCAGTGGTGATGGGCATGGGAGTGCTTCTGTCATCCCTCCCTCAACCTCTGGTAGCCCAGAAAAGGGGGGAGCAACTCAATTTGTTTGAGGACAGGTAAGGGAAGAGAGCAAGAGACTCTACCTGTAATCCTGAGAATTCTCTCAGATTTTACCCAAGATCACCAAGACAGTACCTCTAGGAGTCTGCAAGAGGCTCAGTGCTACTGAGCTTGGATACCCCCTACTTCAGATATGGCTGCAGTGACAAAAACTTTAGATTTATAGCACTCAATTTCCTTTGAATACCTGGAAACACTTCTCAAGAAGGACAAGTACAAACAAGCCCACACTGGGAAGATTAGAATAAATACCTAATTTTTCAATGCATAGACACCAGTGAACATCAACAAGCATCAGGACCATTCAGGAAAACATGACCTCACCAAACAAACTAAAGAAGTTTCAGTGTGTTTGGCAGCAGACTTCTGAGTAGAAAACTTACAGGCCAGGAGAGAGTGGCATGATATTTTATATGTGTTGAAGGGAAAAACAAAAACAAAAACAAAGGCTTTTATCCTAGAACATTATATTCAGCGAAAATATCCTGTAGATGTGAAGGAGAAGTAAAGACTTTTCCATACCAAAAAATAATAATAATGAGAAAAAGCTGAAGAATTCTAATTCTGCCAATACCAGACCTGTCCAATGAGACAGGAATTTCTTCAATCTGAAAGAAAAGCATGTTTACAAGCAATAAGGAATCATCTGAAGGTACAAAATTAACTGGTAATATAAGTATACAAAAAATACAGAATATTGTAACACTGTAATTGTGGCGTGTAAACTACTCATATCTTGGGTAGAAATGCCAAAAGATGAACTGATAATAACTACAACAACTTTGCAAGACATAGACAGCACAATAAGATATAAATAGAAACAACAAGAAGTAAAAAATCAGGGCGATGCAGCTAAAGTGTGGTGTTTTTATTTATTTTCTCTTCACTTGTTAGATTGTCTATGCAATGTGTTAAGTTGTCATCAGCTTAAAACAATGGGTTATAAGATATCATTTGCAAGCCTCCATGGTAACTTCAAATCAAAAATCATACACTGGATTACCAAAATTAAAAACTGAGAAATTAAAACGTAACACCAGAGAAAATTACCTTTGCTAAAAGAAGGACAAGAAAGAAAGAAAGAAGGAAAAGAAGACCATAAAGCAATCATAAAACAAATAGAAAAATGGCAGGAGTAGGTAATCAATAATAATATGAAATGTAAATTAACTAAACTCTCCAATGAGACATAAAGTGGTTGAATGGATAAAAAAGCAAAACCCAACAATCTTTTCCCTACAAAATCCACACTTCATCTATAAAGATGCACATAGACTGAGAATCAAGAAAAAGATAGATGTTCCATGTAAATGGAAAACAAAAAAAGAACAAGAGTAGCTATACTTACATCAGACAAAATAGATTTCAAGACAAAAACTATAAAGAGAGATAAATAACATAATCATATAATGATAAAGGGGTCAATTCAGCAAGCAGACAAAACAATTATAAATATATATGCACTCAACATGGGTGCACCCAGGTATATATAGCAAACATTATCTCTCACTATATAAAGTGAGAGATAGAGCCTAACACAATAACAGCTGGAGGCTTCGACACTCCACTTTCAGCCTTGAACAGATCATTCAGATAGAAAATCAAAAAAGAAACATTGGACTTAATCTGCATTATAGTCCAAATAGACCTGATAGATATTTACGTAACTTTTAATCCAGTGGCTGCAGAATACACATTCTTCTCCTCAGCACATGAATCATTCTCAAGGATAGACCATATATTAGGCAACAAAACCAGTTTTAAAAAATTAAAATTATATCCAATATAATCTCTGACCACAATGGAATAAAATTCGAAATCAGTAATAAGAGGAATTTTGGAAACTATGCAAGCATATGAAAATTAAACAATATGCTCCTGAATGACCAGTTGGTCAATTAAGAAGGAAATTAAAAAATTTATTGAAACAAGTGACAATGGAAACACAATATACAAAAATCAATGGGATACAACAAAAGCAGTTTATAGCTATAAGTGACTACATCAAAAAAATAGAAAAATTGGGCCAGGTGCAGTTGCTTATGCCTGTAATCCCAGCACTTTGGGAGGCTGAGGCAGGTGGATTAGCTGAAGTTAGGAGCTCAAGACCAGCCTGGCCAACATGACAAAACCTCATCTCTACTGAAAATACAAAAATTAGCTGGACATGGTGGTGGGCACCTGTAATCCCAGCTACTCAAGAGGCTGAGTCAGGAGAATCACTTGAACTCAGGAAGTGGACGTTGCAGTGAGCTGAGATT